TATGTCATTGTTAATAAAAGAGTTAATTTATAGAATTCAAGTAGTAAAGAAATTTATTTTCATTAGTTTTAAGTAGAGAATTTGACATCCCTACAACATTGAAAGCTAAGGGGCTGAACTGTACCATAAGCCATTGGAAAATTGGGCGACTTTTTTGGATTCCTTTCCTAAAGCAAGTTTGGTTTGTAAGAAAATTACTTATTTTAATACAAAAATAAAGTACATATAATATTGTACGAATTATGTTTTATTTATTTATTAATGAAAGGATATATCTTTTAATATTAAGATATTGGGGGTTCACTTTTTTATTTATAATGAAAATAATACAATCCACATAGAGTAAATCATATTTTAATGTTCTCTTATTTTAATTTTTATTCTAATTTTAACATAAATATTTTTTTAAACTACATGCAATATGATATGTGAAAGCATTTAAAAAATATAAATCATTAAAGAGTATTCTGATGGTGTGAGGACTGCATGTAGTCCAGTATCCTTAATGAAGAAGAGTAATTAGAGATATTTAAATACTTTTATAACTCAAAAAAAAAAAATTTATAGCCTAGACTATATATAATCCTTAATAGATAAGAGTTATTAAGAGTATTGAAATATTTTCAAAGCTCAAACTGTTTCAGTCCAAACTGGCGAAAAAAAAAAAAAAACTTCTGAAATCTAAATACAAAATAGCTTGCAATGGTGGTGATAGAAGGACCATTTTGAAGCAAGAAAAATATATTGGGACTATTTGCAAATCAAAAAAGGTTTATAGAATAAAATGAGACCAACCCAAACAAGTTGAGAGACGAGACGGCCAGTTATTAAACCTATTTAAAGCCAATAAAAATTTAGCTCAGTATCAAAATTCAAAACAGAACAGGGGTTCTCTGTTTACCAAATGTTTATATTAGTAATTTCTCTTCCCTTCGGTGAGTTGCTGAATATCAATATGGTGTTATGTTGTGTTGTGTTATGATTGTAATTGTAAATTTTTTTTTTAATCTTAATTATATTAAAATATTAATTAAAATTAATAAAAATATATGAAAAAATAATTAAAATTTTATAATTTATAATTTTAATTAATAAAATACCATATGAAAAAGTTCGTAAAAATTATTATCAAGTAAAGCCTTAATCACATTTGACCCTTCGAGCCGAGTGGTTTCTTGATCACATGAAGATGCACTCCCTTTCTTCCGAGCAGAGTTCAAACCTGTCCCATGTAATATCGTTAAAAAAAAAAAAGAAAAGGCAAAGCCTTAATCATTGTATAATTGGGGAATCTAGTCTAAGAAAATGAATGGGAGGTATATGGCGTTAGAACATATTCGAAAACTTAAAAATTGATATTTCTCACCGTCCTCGAGACTTGTGGGTATGCATGGATGGAGCAGAATAAAGAAGACATAAATAATGGTATATATTAGAGAAAAATGACAAAAAGGAAGTCAGAAAGAGAGATCGACTAGATTAGCATCTAGTCATCTAGCTCAGAATAAAAATAAGCAAAATACGATCAAGACAATGGGTTTGGAATCTTTATATTAAAAATATACTGCGTACAGTATAATGAATAGTTTGAACACAGTGGAGAAAGAAGACTATATTTTCCACCATTATTACTCGGGACCTGATTTCTCGGACCGGCGTCCATAGCTATGGTCAATGAATGAGATGATGATTTCCTCTAAATTTTATCCTTTTCATGTTTTTCATTTTTTAATTATATGATTAGAGCAATTTTTTTTTTTTTGCTAACAAA